TTTGGGGCGAAATTCCCACATTTTGGGGTGAAATTCCCGAGTTTTGGGGTGAAATTCCCAAATTTTGGGAGGGTGAAATTCCCGGGGTTTGGGGTGAAATTCCTGGGGTTTGGGGCGAAACTCCCGAGTTTTGGGGTGAAATGCCCGAGTTTAGGGGCGAAATTCCCGAGTTTAGGGGTGAAATTCCCGAGTTTTGGGGCGAAATTTCCGAGTTTTGGGGTGAAACTCCCACGTTTTCAGGGCCAGTTCTGGAGTTTTGGGGTGAAATTTCCGGGTTTTGGGTTGAAACCCCAGAATTTTGAGGTGAAACCCCGGGATTTTGAGGCGGAACCTCAGATTTTTGGGCTGAAACCTCGGGATTTTGCGGTGAAACCCCAGAATTTTGGGGCGAAACCCTGGAATTTTGGGGCAAAACCCCAGGATTTTGAGGTGAAATCCCAGGATTTTGGGGCAAAACCCCGGAATTTTGAGGCAGAACCTCGGATTTTTGGGCTAAAACATTGGGTTTTTGACATGGAACCCCGGGGTTTTTTGGGCTTTGAGGCAGAAGCCCGGGATTTTGGGGCGAAACCCCGGAATTTTGAGGCAAAACCCCAGAATTTTGAGGCAGAACCTCAGAATTTTGGGCTGAAACCTCGGATTCTTGGGCTAAAACATTGGGGTTTTGACACAGAACCCCGGGGTTTTTTGGGCTTTGAGGCAGGAGCCCGGGATTTTGGGCTGAAACCCCAGAATTTTGAGGCAAAACCCCGGAATTTTGAGGCAGAACCCCAGATTTTTGGGCCGAAACCTCAGATTTTTGGGGCGAAACCCCGTGATTTTGGGGCGGGATGCCCGGGCCCGGCTGCAGCAGCGCCTGCAGGGCCTCGGCCTCGAAGGCGCTGAGGAAGCAGCGGCGGCAGAAGGGCAGCAGCGAGCGCGAGCGCAGCAGCACCGAGGGCAGCGCGCAGCGGCTGCAGCGCGGCCGGGGCATGGCCTGGAAAGGACAAAAAAACCGGGGTTGGGGAGGGGAAAGAGAGAAAAGAACGAAATTCAGCAAGTTTGGGGCGGAATGGTGGAAAAAAAGGGGGGAAATTGTGGGTAAGGGCGAATGAAAGTGGCGGAAAGTCACTGGGAAACGGCAAAATCTCACTTGGGATTAACCAAAGTTACAACTGGGGAGCCCCAAATCCACCTGGGAACCCCAAAATCCCACCTGGGACCCACAAAATCCCACCCGGGATCGACCAAAAGCACCCGGGACCCACCTGGGAACCCCAAAATCTGCATGGGAACCCCCAAAATCTGCATGGGAACCCCCAAAATCCCACCTGGGAACCCCAAAATCTGCATGGAACCCCCAAAATCCCACCTGGATTCACCCAAAACCACCCAAAATCCACTCAGAAAACCCCAAAATTCCACCTGGGAACCCCAAAATCCCACCTGGGATTGGCCAAAAGCACCCAGAACCCACTTGAGAACCCCCAAATCCCACCTGGGATCACCCAAAATCCACTCAGAAACCCCAACTTCCACCTGGGAACCCCCAAAATCCCACCTGAAAACCCCAAAATCCCACCTGGGAACCCCCAAATCCCACCTGGGAACCCCAAAATCTGCATGGGAACCCCCAAATCTACTCAGGATCTCCCAAAATCCACTCAGAAATCCCAAATCCCAACTGGGAACTCCTAAACACATCCAAAATCCACTCAAAGAACCCCAAAATCCCACCTGGAAACCCCAAAATTCCACCTGGATTCACCCAAAACCACCCAAAATCCACCTGGGAACCCCCAAAATCCCACCTGGGTTCACCCAAAACCACCCAAAATCCGCTCAGAAAACCCCAAAATCCCACCCAGGATCAACCAAAGTTTCACCTGGGAACCCCCAAAATCCCACCCGGGACCCACCTGGAAACCCCAAAGTCCACTTGGGAACCCCCAAAATCCCACCTGGATTCACCCAAAACCACCCAAAATCCACTCAAAGAAGCCCAAAATCCCACCTGGGATCACCAAAAGCACCCGGGACCCACCTGGGAACCCCAAAATCTGCATGGGAACCCCAAAATCCCACCTGGGAACCCCAAAATCTGCATGGGAACCCCCAAAATCTGCACGGGAACCCCCAAAATCTGCATGGGAACCCCCAAAATCCCACCTGGGATCAATCAAAAGCACCCGGGAGCCACCTGGTGAACCCCAAAATCTGCATGGGAACCCCCAAATCCCACCTGGGAACCCCCAAAATCCACTTGGGATCTCCAAAACCACCCAAAATCCACTCCAAAAACCCCAAAATTCCACCTGGATTCACCCAAAACCACCCAGAACCCACTTGGGAACCCCCAAATCCCACCTGGGATCACCCAAAATCCACTCAGAAACCCCCAAAATCCACCAGGGATCGACCAAAATCCACTCAGAAACCCCAAATTCCACCTGGGAACTCCCAAAATCCCACCTGGGATCACCAAAAAGCCACCCAAAATCCACTCAGAGAACCCCAAAATCCACTCAGAAAACCCCAAAATCCACCTGGGAACCCCTAAAATCCCACCTGGGATCGACTAAAGTTCCACCTGGGATTGCCCAAAAGCACCCGGGACCCACGTGGGAACCCCAAAATCTGCATGGGAACCCCCAAAATCCACTCAGAAACCCCCAAAATCCACCTGAAATTTGCCCAAATCTACTCAGAATCACCCAAAATCCACCTGGGATCTGCCAAAATCCACCTGGAAACCCCAAATCCCACCTGAGAACCCCCCAAAATCCCACCTGGGAACTCCTAAACACACCCAAAATCCACTCAGAAAACCCCAAAATCCACCTGGGACCCACAAAATCCCACCCGGGATCGACCAAAAGCACCCGGGACCCACCTGGGAACCCCAAAATCTGCATGGGAACCCCCAAAATCCCACCTGGGAACCCCAAAATCTGCATGGGAACCCCCAAAATCCCACCTGAAAACCCCAAAATCCCACCTGGGAACCCCCAAATCCCACCTGGGAACCCCAAAATCTGCATGGGAACCCCCAAATCTACTCAGGATCTCCCAAAATCCACTCAGAAATCCCAAATCCCAACTGGGAACTCCTAAACACATCCAAAATCCACTCAAAGAACCCCAAAATCCCACCTGGAAACCCCAAAATTCCACCTGGATTCACCCAAAACCACCCAAAATCCACCTGGGAACCCCCAAAATCCCACCTGGGTTCACCCAAAACCACCCAAAATCCGCTCAGAAAACCCCAAAATCCCACCCAGGATCGACCAAAGTTTCACCTGGGAACCCCCAAAATCCCACCCGGGACCCACCTGGAAACCCCAAAGTCCACTTGGGAACCCCCAAAATCCCACCTGGATTCACCCAAAACCACCCAAAATCCACTCAAAGAAGCCCAAAATCCCACCTGGGATCACCAAAAGCACCCGGGACCCACCTGGGAACCCCAAAATCCCACCTGGGAACCCCAAAATCTGCATGGGAACCCCCAAAATCCCACCTGGGAACCCCAAAATCCCACCCGGGATTGACCAAAGTTACAACTGGGGAGCTCAAATCACAGCTGGGAACCCCAAAATCCCACCTGGAATCTCCTGAAATTCCCCCAAAAACACTCAAAATCCACTCGGGAGACCCCAAATCCCACCCGGGAACCCCAAAAATTCACTCAGCAAACCCCAATTCCCTCCCAGACCCCCAAAATCCCTCAGAAACCCCCAACCCCCAAAATGGTCCCTCCCACACCCCCAAAATCCCCCCCCCCAAAACCCCACATGGATCCTCCCAGGACGCCCAAATCCCTCCAGGAACCCCCAAATCTCCCCAAAATCCCCCCAAATTCTCTCCAGATTCCCCAAAATCCCCCCAAAATAACCCAAAATCCCCCTAAATTCCACTAACCCCCCCCCAGGACCCCCCAAATTCTTTCAGGACCCCCAAAATCCCCCCCAAATGGTTGGAGACTCCCCCAAAATCCCCCTAAAACCCCTCGGGACCCCCCAGATCCCCCCAAAATTCCCCCAAACCCAACCAAAACCCCCCAAAATTCCCCCCAGGCCCCCCAAATTCCCCCCCCCAGACCTCCCAAATCCCTTTCAGACACCCCCAAATCCCCTCAGGAGGCCCCGAACCCCCACAGGAACCCCTGAACCCCCCCCAAATCCTCCCGGACCACCTCAGAACACCCCAAATTCCCCTGGAACTCCCCCTAATCCTTCCCAGGACTCCCCAAAATCCCCCCAGGACCCCCCAAATTTCCCTCGAACCCCCCAAAGCCCCTCAGGAACCCCCCAAATCCCCCCCGCCCCCGCACGCAATGGTCCCTCCCAAACCCCCCAAAAGCCTCACAGGAGCCCCCCAAAACCCCCTCAGGACCCCCCAAACCCCTCCAACCCTCCCCAGAACCCCCCAAATTCCCCTCGGAATCCCCTAAATGCCCTCAGGATCCCCCAGATTCCTTCAGGAACCCCGAAATCCCCTCCGGACCCCCCAATTTCCCCCCCCCCCGTACCTGCAGTGGTCGCGCCCGCGCGGGGCTCCCTCAGGCCGCTGATTTCCCGCCCTGCCTTGCGCGCGCTCAGGCCACGCCCATCCCGGCACGTCGCGGACCAATCAGCGCCGTTCATTTCCCGCCTTACTCCCGCCTCGTCAAATCGAACCAATCAGAGTGCGACTTCCGGGTTCAGTCACGCTACAGGAGCCAATCGGCGCGCCGGAAGTCCGCCGCTTATTCAGCCAATCAGAGCGCGAGGAGGGCGGGGCTTAAAGGGTTCTGGGGGCTCGGCCCACGGAGCCTTAAAGGGCCCGCGCTCATTTAAAAGGGGGCGGGGTTTAAAGGCGGGGCGGGGCTTATTAAACACAGAACTTGCCGGCGAATGGGCGGGGCTCGCTGGGAAGGGGCGTGGCCACCGCAGGGACCCCAAAAAGGGGAAGTTTTGGGCTCGGGGGGGTCAGGAGTTTTAGGTGGGGTCACGGTGCTGCCCAATCAGACGCTGAGGGCAGAAAGGGGGCGTGGCCTGAGTTGCCACACCAGGCCCCGCCCCTGTCCCTTCCCCCAGCGCCACCATGGCCCCCCCCAGGACCCTCGGCCTGGTCCTGCTGCTGCTCGGTGAGGCCCCTCCCCCACCCCGAGGGCCCCCTCCCCCACCCTGTGACCCCCCCCCTTCCCCTCCCCCACCCCGAGGGACCCTCTCTGCCCCTCCCCCACCCCCTGTGACCCCCCCCTTTACCCCTCCCCCAAAAGCAGAAGTGACCGGTCCAGGGTGGGGGAGGGGAATGGCGGAGAAATGGGGGGGATCGGCCCCTCCCCCACCCTCTGCGGACCCCTCGAGACCCTCCCCCACCCTCTGGGGACCCCTCGAGCCCCTCCCCCACCCTCTGCGGACCCCTCCCCCACCCCTTGGTGATGCCTGTGCCCCTCCCCCATCCCGTGGGACCCCTCTAAGCCCCTCCCCTACACTTTGAAGACCCCTCCCCCACCCGAAAGTTCCCACTGTGCCCCTCCCCCACCCTTTAGCCCCTCTCCCACCTGTTTTTGCCCCTCCCACTCCCTTTAGCCCCTCCCATATTTGCCACTCCCCCACTTTTAGCCCTGCCCCACCTTTAAGCCCCTCCCACATTCATTTCTACCTTTCCCCCACCCCCTCCCTTTTGCCCCTCCCCCACCATTTTAGCTCCTCCCACACCATTAAGCCCCTCCTCCAGCCATTTCTGCCCCTCCCATCCCTTTTGCCCCTCCCATTTCACCCCTCCCCCACCCTTTGGCCCCTCCCCCTCCCGAATCTGTGGGTGTGGCCAAAGTGGGAGTGGCTCACAAGCCCCACCCCCTTCATTAATTCCCAGCCTCAGGATTGGCCGCGGCGGAGCGAGGTAAGGCCCATCCCCCACCCTGGGGTCACGGGAGGGGTCAAAGGTCACAGCGGGGGTCACGAGGCGTCCCCTCCCCCTCCCTTTTCCAGATTGTTCCGGGTGCCTCCTGGGGCCGGGACCAATCACAGCACTCGTTGTTGGTGACGTCATCCTGACGCTGCTGATCGCGGGCGGAGCCTATTGGCTGGCAGGGCGGGGCCACAGAGGTGGGCGGGGCCAAGGGGAGGAGGTGTTTATGGGCGTGGCCAACGGGGAGGGAGCATTTGTGGGCGTGGCCAATGGGCGAGGGCATTTCAGGCATGGCTAATGAGGGAGGGGCTGGATGTGGGCGTGGCTTAAAAGGAGGGAGAAATTGTGGGTGTGGCCAAAGGGGAGGAGCCATTTGTGGGTTACTGGGAGTGCACTGGGAACAGTGGGCGGGGTTTAAGGGGGTTACTGGGAGCACTGGGAAGGTTCCAGGGCATTACTGGGAGGAACTGGGAGGGGTCTGGGGCATTACTGGGAGTACTGGGAGGACACTAGGGGTTACTGAGGGTTACTGGGAGGACACTGGGGGTTACTGGGAGTTACTGGGAGCACTGGGAAGGCACTGGGGGTTACTGGGATTTACTGGGAGTAACTGGGATGAATCAGGGGCGTGATTAAACCCATTAATGGGCGGAGCCAAAACCCAAATGGGGGCGTGACCAACCAATAATCACCCCCACCACAACCACGCGGTGGGCGTGGCTCCGAGCAAAGTAGGCGTGTATCCACTCTGACCACGCCCCCTTCCCCACAGCCCCGCCCAAGCCCCGCCCCCCGGAGCAGGACTCGCACTACCAGGAGCTGCAGGGCGCGCGCGGGGACATCTACAGCGAGCTCAAGCGCTGAGCGCAGCCTCCCCCGCGGCCTCCGCCCTCCGCTGCCGCCATTAAAGCGCTTTTTGCCCCTTCTGCAGCCATTTTTGTCCGTTTCTCACTGATTTCGCCCCAAATCCGCCTCTGTTTATTAAAAATGGGGAAGTGTTGTCGCGCTGAGTGACGTCACTGCGCCGCGCCGGAAGTGCCCCTCAGGCGGGCGGAAGTGGCTGTGGCGGTTCCAGCCATGGCGGCGACGGCGGCTCCCGGAGCGGCGGGGCCGGGAATGGCGGCGGGAGCCGGACCCGGTGCCGCGGTGGTGGCGGCGGGGCCCGGAGCGGTGGCGGGAGGCGGCGGGGCCGCGGTGAAGAGCGGCGAGGAGCGGCTTAAAGAGATGGAGGCGGAGATGGCGCTGTGAGGGAAAGGGAACGGCGGGGCTGTCATGGCGGACGGGAGGGGGCGGAGCTTGATAGACGGGCGTGGTCTGAGCGCTGCCATGGCAACGGGGGCGGGGTTTGGTGGAGAGAGGGGCGGGGTCTGGAGGTTGTTGTGGTAACTTGGGCGTGGCTTGAGGGAGGGAGGGGCGGGGCCTGGCGTTGCCGGGGTAACGGGGGCGGGGTTTGGGGGTACTGGGAGGGTCGGGGGGTTACTGGGAGGTCAGTGGGCGGTCCCCAGTCCATACTGGTCCTTACTGGTTTATACTGGTTTATACTGGTCTATATCAGCCCATAGAAGTCTATACTGGTTTGTACCAGTTCTTACTGGTCCGTACTGGTTTGTACTGGCTTGTGCTTGTATATATTGGTTCATACTGGTCTATACTGGTTTATACTGGTCCGTACTGGTCCATACTGGTTTGTACTGGTCCATACCAGTCCCTACTGGTCTGTTCAGGTCCTTACTGGTCCATACTGGTTTTATACTGGTTTATAGTGGCCTTTACTCATCCATACTGGTTTATAATAGACCTTTACTGGTCCATACTGGTCCATGCTGGTTTATACTGGTCCATAGTGGTTTTATACTGGTTTTTACTGGTCCATACCGGTCCATTCTGGCCCGTATTGGTTTGTACTGGTCTGTACTGGTCCTTAATGGTCCATACTGGTTTATACTGGCCCGTTTAAGTCCAGGCAAGTTCATATGGATCCATACTGGTTCATACTGGTCTGTACTGGTCTTTACTGATTTATATTGGCCCATACTGGTCCATACTGGTTTATACTGGTCCGTACTCGTTTATACTGGTCCGTACTGGTCCTTACTGGTCCGTACTGGTGCAGGTTCGAGCAGGAGGTGCTGGGGGCTCCAGGCCCCGCCCCCGGGGACCCTTTGGCCCCGCCCCCCGTCCTGCGCCCGATCATCGCCACCAACACCTACCAGCAGGTGTGTCCCCAAAAGTGTCCCCGATTGTCACCAGTGTCCCCCAAATGTCCCCAATGTCCCCTCAATGTCCCCAATGTCCTCAGTGTCCCCAATGGCCCCTCAATGTCCCCAAATGTCCCCAATGTCCCCTCAGTGTCCCCAGTGTCCCCTCAGTGTCCCCAATGGCCCCAGTGTCCCCAATGGCCCCAATGTCCCCTCAGTGTCCCCAGTGTCCCAATGTCCCCAATGCCCCCAAATGTCCTCAATGTCCCCAACCCCTGTCAATGTCCCCACTGGCCTTTCAGTGTCCCCAAAGTCCCCTCAATGTCCCCAATGTCCCCCTCAAGTCACCAATGTTCCCAATGCCCTCTCGCTGTCCCCATTGTCCCCAAATCCCCAATGTCCCCAATCCCCCCGATGTCCCCCTGATGTCCCCAATGTCCCCTCAATGTCCCCAAATCCTCCCAATGTCCCCCCAATATCCCCGATCCCCCAAATCCCCCCAATATCCCCAATGTCCCCAATGTCCCCAATCCCCTCAATGTCCCCAACACACCCAAGGTCCCCAAAATCCCCAATCCCCCAATGTCCCCAGGGTCCCCAATGCCCCCAACCCCTCTCACTGTGCCCCCAGTGTCCCCTCAATGTCCCCACTGTCCCCCCAGTGTCCCCTCAGTGTCCCCTCAGTGTCCCCACTGTCCCCTCAGTGTCCTCAGTGTCCCCACTGTCCCCAGTCCCCCCAGTGTCCCCTGGCTGTCCCCTCAGTGTCCCCTGGCTGTCCCCTCAGTGTCCCCTCAGTGTCCCCAGTGTCCCCTCAGTGTCCCCAATGGCCCCTCAATGTCCCCAGTGGCCCCTCAATGTCCCCAATGTCCTCAATGTCCCCTCAGTGTCCCCAGTGTCCCAATGTCCCCAATGCCCCCAAATGTCCCCAATGTCCCCAACCCCTCTCACTGCCCCCAAATCCTCCATTGTCCCCAATGTCCCCAATGTCCCAAATGCGCCCAAACCCTCTCACTGTCCCCAACCCTTCCAATGTCCCCAATGTCCCCCCAATGTCCCCAATGTCCCCAATCCCCACAGTGTCCCTCCAATGTCCCCTCAATGTCCCCAGTGCCCCCAACGCCCCCCAATTCCCCCAATGTCCCAAATCCTCCCAATGTCCCCAATGTCCCTAAAACCCCCTATGTCCCCACTCCCCCCTCAATGTCCCCAAATCCCCAATGTCCCCAATCCCCCCAATATCTCCAATGTCCCCCCAATGTCCCCAATGTCCCCTTAGCGACCCCAAGGTCCCCAATACCCCCAAGGTCCCCAATCCCCCTAACCCCTCTCACTGTGTCCCCAATGTCCCCTCAATGTCCCCAATGTCCCCTCAATGTCCCCACTGTCCCCCCAGTGTCCCCTCAGTGTCCCCTCAGTGTCCCCAATGTCCCAAATCCCCTCAGTGTCCCACTGTCCCCACTGTCCCCTCAGTGTCCCCAGTGTCCCCAATGTCCCTTCAGTGTCCCCCCACTGTCCTCAGTGTCCCCAGTGTCCCCTGGCTGTCCCCACTGTCCCCAATCCCCCTAATGTCCCCTCAATGTCCCCTCAGTGTCCCCAATGTCCCAAATCCCCTCAGTGTCCCCAATGTCCCCCCCCGTCCCCCCAATCCCCCCAATGTCCCCCCAATGTCCTCAGTGTCCCCGCTCTGTCCCCATTGTCCCCTCAGTGTCCCCGCTCTGTCCCCACTGTCCCCCCAGTGTCCCCGCTCTGTCCCCATTGTCCCCCCAATGTCCCCTCAGTGTCCCCTCAGTGTCCCCGCTCTGTCCCCAGGTCCAGCAGTCTCTCGAGGCTCGCGCCGCCGCCGCCGCCACCGTCCCCCCCTTGGGGACACCCCCGGTGCCCTTCGTGGGGCCAGGTCAGTGCCACCAGTGTCCCCTCCGTGTCCCCTCTGTGTCCCCATTGTCCCCAGCGGTGTCAACGCTGTCCCCAATGTCCCCCAGTGTCACCAATGTCCCCTGGCTGTCCCCAACCCCAATGTCCCCTGGCTGTCCCCAGCAGTGTCAACGCTGTCCCCTGCTGTCCCCGGCTGTCCCCTGGCTGTCCCTGCTGTCCCCAACCCCATTGTCCCCTGGCTGTCCCCAGCAGTGTCACTGCTGTCCCCACTGTCCCCAATGTCCCCTGGCTGTCCCCAATGTCCCCTGACTCTCCCTGGCTGTCCCCAATGTCTCCAATGTCCCCAGTGTCCCCAATGTCCCCTCCTGTCCCCAGTGTCCCCAATGTCCCCTCCTGTCCCCAGTGTCCCCACTGTCCCCTGGCTGTCCCCTCCTGTCCCCAATGTCCCCTGCTGTCCCCAATGTCCCCAATGTCCCCTGACTCTCCCTGGCTGTCCCCAATGTCTCCAATGTCCCCAGTGTCCCCAATGTCCCCTCCTGTCCCCAGTGTCCCCACTGTCCCCTGGCTGTCCCCTCCTGTCCCCAATGTCCCCTGGCTGTCCCCAATGTCCCCTGACTCTCCCTGGCTGTCCCCAATGTCCCCCTCTGTCCCTAGTGTCCCCCAATGTCCCCTGACTCTCCCTGGCTGTCCCCTCTGTCCCCAGTGTCCCCAGTGTCCCCTCTGTCCCCAGCAGTGTCACCGCAGCGGCCGCCGATCCTGCGCCCGGCCTTCGTGCCACACGTGCTGCAGAGACCGGGTACGGGGACACTGGGGACATTTGGGGACACTGGGGACACTGGGGACACTGGGGACATTTGGGGGCTTGGGGACACTGGGGACATTGTGGGGATTGGGGGGTTGGGGACATTGGGGACAGCGGGGGCGGTTGGGGACACTGGGGACATTTGGGGACATTGGGGGGCTTGGGGACATTGGGGGGGTTGGGGACATTGGGGACATTGGGGGTTTGGGGACATTGGGGACATTGGGGACATTGGGGGGGTTGGGGACATTGGGGGACGTTGAGGGGGTTGGGGACATTGGGGGACATTGGGGTTTGGGGACATTTTTGGGGACGTTTTATGGTTTGGGGACATTGGGGGGTTTGGGGGGTTTGGAGACATTGGGGACATTCGGGGACATTGGGGACACTGGGGGGTTTGGGGACATTGGGGGGGTCTGGGGACATTTTTGGGGATATTTTGGGTGACATTGGGGGGTTTGGGGACATTTTTGGGGTGACATTTGGGGGGATATGGGGACACTTTTGGGGACATTTTTGAGGGGACATTGGGGAGTTTGGGGAGTTTTTTGGGGACATTTTTGGGGTGACATTTGGGGGGATTTGGGGCCATTTTTTGGGGTGACATTTGGAGGGATTTGGGGACATTTTTGGGGCGACTTTGGGGGGATTTGGGGCCATTTCCGGGTCCATTTTTTGGGCGGATTTGGGGCCATTTTCGGGTGCATTTTTGGGGGGATTTGGGGCCATTTCCGGGTACATTTTTGGGGTGACTTTGGGGGGATTTGGGGCCATTTTCCGGGTACATTTTTTGGGGATTTGGGGCCATTTCCGGGTACATTTTTGTGGGGATTTGGGGCCATTTTCGGGTGCATTTTTGGTGGGATTTGGGGCCATTTCCGGGTCCATTTTTTGGGGGATTTGGGGCCATTTCCGGATCCATTTTTTGGGCGGATTTGGGGGGATTTGGGGCCATTTCCGGGTACATTTTGGGGGGATTTGGGGCCATTTCCGGGTACATTTTTGTGGGGATTTGGGGCCATTTTCGGGTGCATTTTTGGAGGGATTTGGGGCCATTT